CCAAAAAACACACTTCCAAAAAAATGATGTATATCCGCACATTACTGAAAGGTGCGTTTAAGAGCCCTCTAGAATCATAAACAAACTGAAAAACGAACATTCCAGCGATACTCCAAGTAATAAAGTAATACTCCAAACATCAGCCCTTCGAACTCGAACGATGATGTCGATACAGAAATCCTAATTAACTATAAAAATAATGCAACGAAACCGAAAAATTTTTCAATATTTGAGAAGCTTACCGTGATGATTGCACTAGCACCTTAAACGCACCAATACAATTTTCAGAATTAATAACAACAATAAAATCATCAAAAGACATTAGTCCAGGACCGGTAAAGTTTCACACATATTTATTAAAAAAAAACACCACCTTCTTGACATACATATATGTATCTGTGGTTGTAAGGCAGAAACGTAAGTCATATGTTTTTACTTTGGAGATATTGCCGTTTAAAGTTTTGAACATCAATTTGTTATCGCTATTAGGCGAAGTACAATATAAGTATGTCTTATCTGAATTTACATCATTTTTCTTGTTTTAATTGGCATAAACAATAAATAAAAATATTAAACAGAATAATGAGAAAATAAGATTATTTCAAACAAAACAACACAAGTCCACTTATGCTATTTTACCTGACCGTACTAAAGTTGCGGTATTTTTTCCCAATCGGAATGTAGACATTCGTTTGTTATAAGTACACGGGTATAGCAATACCATGGGAATCTTGGTAAAAAAATAAAATGCCTTATGGAGGGCTTTTATATTTATCAGAAGAAGAAAAAAGGATTTATTGTACGAACATTTTACAACAGTTTGTCGGCAAAGAAAGAATTGTCGAATGCCGATCCTGATATAGATTTATTAGAAAACAGATAAAGAAATACTGTTGAAAAGGCTCAATATTGAATGCAAAATAAAGGAAAAATAATAATTAATGTATATGCTTTAATGTGGAATTACTAGGTTTATCTTTACAATTTTACATTATATAAAATATTATGTTAAGTATATAATATATACACATATTGAGTAAAGTATATAATATTACTTCTGTAACAACAAAATTGTGAAACATAAACATGTTTGTTAATTTTGTCACATAATAAATCAGTGAAACTAAAATTTTTGGACTTATGTTTCTTTGCCTGATATGGAACAATCTTGGATTTCTGTTTTATTGCAACATTATTTTGAAAAGAAAATATTGTTCTGATGTATTTTCTTTCTTCTAAGAACACAAATATTGTCTTCTAGACCTGAATTAAAGCATAAACTAAAACGTTTCGAAAATGTGACTTAGGTCGGTTTGCCTTATAACTACAAATATAACTTTATCTTCAAACATAAAATATGTTTAAATAAATGTTGAGAAGCCATGATAATACCTATCCTCAAACCAGGAAAAAATAAAACCAGTAAAGAAAGTTAGAGACCCAGAGCACTCACATGCTCCATGTGTAAAATTTTAGAAAAACTCATCAATAGCAGATTAAGATTATATCTGGAATCCAATAACCTAATCACAAAATACCAGAGAGGTTTCAAAAGAAAAATATTTACAACTGATTGTTTAGCAAATATAGAATCCAGCATATGCAAAGCATGTATCCAAAATCAACATGCAATTGTAATATGTTTGGATATAGAAAAAGCATTCGATATGTTGTGGAAAACTAGACTAACTAAAGTACTAATAAACAACGATATAAATAGTAATATACTGTATTTCTTAACATCCAAAAACATCAGAATAAGAGTAAGCAACTCTCTCTCAGAAGAAACTAACACAGTAAATGGAGTCGTACAAGGATCTGTAATAAGTAATACACTCTTTTTATTAGGCATACATGAAGTACAAAAGAATTGCATCACTAATCAGATGTATAATATTTGCAGACAACAGCAAGATGTATAATATATACTAGCCAAGCAGTTTTCAAGACACCCAAAACAAACTACAAGAATTTTCCTAAATATCCAGGTTCAAATTCTCCAAAACTAAAAGTATAGCAATCATTTTCAACAAAAAGCATATTACAAATAAAAAACTAAAACTCTATCTGGGACACCAGCTATCCATTGTACAAGGATCTGTAATAAGTAATACACTCTTTTTATTAGGCATACATGAAGTACAAAAGAATTGCATCACTAATCAAATGTATAATATTTGCAGACAACAGCAAGATGTATAATATATA